CTTGCTTCGTCCTGCGGCCCTCGCTACAGATTCCTTAAATAAACACGTCATCACACTTGGCCTTTTCTGCTCACGAAACTTATACAGGAGTGTGTTCGACAGTGAATACTGACTCCATCAGCCTGCATGCGCAGTAGTATAATAAATGAAGGGTAAAATTAAAACCAGATTTTTTGCACAACTCAAAACAATTTTAACGTTGAAGTATTGTACTCAAAGTAACCGAGTGATGACTTGGAGCCCCTTAGCGGTAATTAGATAATAAATAATGCGAGATATCTATGAATATTGGAAAGACAGACGAACTCAATCAATGTGTAGTCGTTGTGAGACATTTACCTAATTTAGGATACGTCTCTGATGTGGGGGTCTCGGGCCGCGTGGGCCCGGCATGCGGCAACGGCGACGGCACGCGCGGGCCCGGAAGCACCACTTGAACGGCTGCTGTCGTCTGTCGTCTGCTCAGTGCTCATTACCGCGCCGCTCTACGCAAGGTGAGTCCCACTCTGACTATTCCCCACTGAACACACTCAACTATTCAATGACATACCGTGCATGCATGCTTTTACATAAAAATCAGAACGTTCCGTTGGCAGATGTGTTTTATGTAGACTGTGGCAAACGTCGGGTTGCGGTCAATGTTATGTCCTGTTATATCAGTTTAAAATATTTAGCAAGTACGTTGGAATATTTTGTCAAATCTGGTAACGAGTCCAGGGCAGAGGGCGCGCGAGTCGTGACCCCTTATCTGTCGCCGGCAGATTCCCGCTGCCCGCTGCCCGCTGCGCACTTCTGCTTCGAGCATAGGACGCTGACGGTCGGTAAGTGATATCAATTTGAATTGCTCTACAAAATTTTAATTTTCTTTTGAAACTTTTTTTTTTTCATTGATTTTACCGGTTAAATTTAATGTTACAGTTTAATGTGTGAATGGTAAAATTAAATAGCTTAATTAATTCTAGATAATTTAAAAAGTTAGCTACATCCTTACTAATATTATAAAGAGGAAGGATTTGTTTTTTTTTGTATGTATTGAAATAATTCAAAAACTACTGGGCCGATTTTAAAAATTCTTTCACCATTAAAAAAACTGCGTTATCGCGGAGTAATATAGGCTATATTTAATTTCACGTGGACGAAGTCGCGAGCAACACACAGTTTATAGTTTTGTACTTACTGCCTTCCGAGTCCATTTTAAGTAACATTAAAGGATAATAATTACTTCTTTTAATTTTACTATTAACTTGGAAAGTAGCTAATTGTTAAGACAATCGTCGGACGAGAGCGGGATGAGTTTGATGTGGA